GCGCCAGTAGAAGGGAGCATATAGAAGAACTGGGACTCTGCCAATGCACTTATGACGCCCTGAAGAGGCTGAGTCTTGTGCTTATTTGCCTGAGCTGTAGATCTGCTGTAGATCATATAAGACCGCCATTTTTGCGCGTTTTTGCAGAACTGGCCCTGCAGGGCCCAAAACGAACTGCCTACAAGCCAAATAACTTCCTGTCCTGGCGCCGTCATGCCAGTGACCTGTTTGTAACTGTCACAAACAGTATTCATCAACACCTCTGTAATCTACACAGATGTACGATTTACATGAGAAAATGAAGATGACGTAAAAAGGTACCTCAGTATGTTCGCTAACAGAAAAATGAATTATGGGCATGATGCAACGATTTTTGGGAATATCGCCACTCGTCAAACGTAGCCGGGTAGTACAACAACAGTCGGGTGGTAGACGAGTGAAAATGCACAAGAACTCTTTCCAAACGGACTTAGATCTGCTGTAACAACCTGGAAGATAGAGCCCGTGAAATCTTATTACTACGTGGCCAATTTTTGCGGGGAAAGGCTACTCGGAAGCCTTCATGGCTCTCTCCTATCGCTGTTGCCCGGCAAAAAAGCTATGCAGATAATCAGCTGATGAGATGACAGGGTTGCGGAAGCGACTGAACGCACTAACGCAGGAATGGGAGCGCGGATTGAGTTGTCAGTGGGGGGTACCATAAATACCTGCATTATACAAGTCAGAGGCAGATTAAATGCTGGCATCCCACCCCGTGCGTCCACTGTCTCAATAGTTGCATGGGCCAGACACTTACGGCCGCCCTTTTAGCCTAATACATCCAAAATGAAAACTAGGCGGTGTGTGGCACGCGTAGACGGATCGTTTATCATTTGTCAGTCACTGCGCTCACGCTCATCCCCGGTCATCTTGACTTTGTCGCGCCATCGTGAGAGAGAGAGTGCTGTGGATGCCGCGCATGTCTCCTTTACTATAAACTGATTCGTGCGCCAAATCCGTGGGGCAGGCGGTGGACCTCAGCGTCGAGCCACCATAGGTCAGACAGGACGGTATACGCGGACTAAGAGTGCATAGACAGGACTACCTGGACACTCCCAAAGGGGTCGTGCCTCCGACTGATGCGGGGTAACTCTGGTTGAGGCTTTGAGTATGACTAAATCGACCGATTTATCGACCCCCAGTGCGTATACAGAGCCCACAAGCCTATAATTCTGGTCATTTACCGGTTGGAATGTCTCACAAATATTGTTTGTTTATTACCGCTTTTATTACTGAGGACGTACTTAAGAAGGGGTTGGAAAACTCGCCGAGTCCCGGTGCTTAATTAGTTTCCATCTTCTCTACGTTTTCCTCGACGCTGCTCCTAGGTCAGCGTAGGTTTCGGGCAGTTTCTTAACCTTAGGCGCTCGCAGCCCTTCCTTGCGTCAATTCTGGGGGAGGGAGGACAGCGAGACAGAGTAAGCAGGAATTAAGCATGTCCAGGAAGACTTATTACAGTTGTCTGTCACATGACCTCCTCCTAGCAGATTCTCCTGATGAAATCCAGACAGTCACAAGGATGCAAAACGAGCTCTACTTCGCAGTCAAGGCTTTCACATGCATGCCAGTGCTCCCACGTGTATATGCGTGACGCCTGCACACTGAGCCACCAAGTTCGAGTAGAACAAGTGTACTGCTTCTGTCACCGTCTAATCGCTAAAATCTTCTACATGTTTGCTGTCAGAGGCACGCAGTTCGCGAAAACCAGACGTTGGAGGCTGAGCCGCGCGCGCGGGGGAGGGGGAAGCTCACACAGCCTCCGGTAGTCGGTGTCAGAACAGGAGGGCAGATTACACAGGGCACATAGGCGCGCCTACTCTTTGCTGTGTGAAAACCAGCCACAATTGACATGCCTCCAATTTTGTTGAAAAGGTCAACGTTTTGGGTCGAATCAGGGTAACGATTGACGCGGTCGCCAGACATCATGACCCTGGCAGTCGTTGGCACTGAGATAATGAAGAATGACACGGGAGTACATAGAATTCTTTCATAAGCCCCGAGCATTTCCTTAAAGCCGCAAAATACCGATTCCTAGAAGGAAATTGCCAGACAGGGACTATGAGGGGAGGGGAATGAGGAAATTCGTCAGACGGCCGGTTAAGCAACGGAGAAAACTTAAGAAGGGAAAAAAAGACTTGGTGTCGTGGAACGGCAAAGTAATGTTTCAGCGAGAGATTGTGATGAATAGGACAGAAGCGTGATTAAAATAAAAAATAACGATAAGATTAACAGTAATGTTACTAAGAGAAAGAAGAAAAAAGAGGAGGCGGATGAGGAGGAGGAGGAGGAGGGGGGGGAGGAGAGGGAATAGAAGCAAACATACAGATCCGGAAGGGTTGGTAGCTTAGTGCACTGTTGAATATTTCCAAACCTCTCGGGGTATGATCAAATGAACCTCAGAACCGGACGTGATCCACTCGCCTAGTCTCTTCGGTACCTTTCAGCTTCAAGAACATTCCCCTCCGGCACAGTTAGCCTTCCACAATGGAAGCAAACAATGCGTATGCACCCCCGTTCACATCACTGACGACCGTTGGAGGTGATATCGCCCTGACGAGGAAAATGTGTGCTGCTGAATGTCGCTAAGTTGTTTCGAAGACGAGACTGCAATTTAAACTGCAAAGACGACCTCCGTGAAGTGGGGGGGGGGGTGAAGTAAGACTAAGAAAGTTGGACCCTGCAGTGCTGAGCCGTGCGGAATGTAGATGGAGTCTAACTAACAGTAGGTGTACGCTAAGTTGGGGTATCTGCATGTGCTGGAGGGTCAAAATATTGAAAGTGATAGAAAGACTGCCTAGAGCCATACAATGGAGTACAGTGGGCTGGTTAGACGGCAATGATGAAGAAGTCAAGAGCTTGTTCGCTCTGTAAATACCTAACTCCATAGGCTCCACACGGGCAACAGAACCGTTTCAACTAATGCGACATCCTCCGACCGACAAAAAAAATCGCACCAGAAGCTGCGGCTGGCACAAACACTTGAAAAACAGAAGAAATCCAGGAATACGCGGTTCTGGTGAAATAAGGAACCTACTCAAGGTCATCAAGGTGGTCCAAGGAAGCAACTCCACGGCAAATGCGTCACTGCTCAGTTCGAAAGGAACAAACCTGCTGTGCAAAAAATTGCAGATTTCGAGGCGCTCGGCCGTGCACTTCAGATGCATCCTCGAGCGTCCGTCCTCAGTCTTTGATACCATTAGCCGACTTCACCGAGCGGAAGTCACCTGCTGTCTCTAACGACCAAATCAGTATGGTAGGTGTTCAGTGGACAAAGCCCGGTGCGTAAACCCAGCCCACTCCCACAGAAGTCTGTCAACTTTTGGACAGAATGATGTTCGCCAAAGTGAAGCTGTCCAACTGTTCAGTCTTGACAGCGCTTCTTTAATGCGCCGAAACCTAGAAGCTCTACAAAGACCCGGCAAGAAGCCTAAAGCACTTTCACCTAATATGCTCCCCGAGAATACTAACGTGAAGTTGCCAGGACAGATTTTGAAGTCAAGGGTCCCGAAATCACCTGGCATGTTCAGCGTGTTTAAAACGCTAAGGGAGATTCAACTTCGATGGGGCCGTCGCGTTGTCAGGACGAATTACGGCCGCCCGGCAACGCTGCTGTCTCCAAGGAGACCAACAACCACCTTTGGAAGACAGCGTAAAGAACTCACTGAAACGCATTGGAATAATCAAGATAACTTGTAAACCTTGAAAAAGAACTGGTAGGTGTGGGTGTTTGCACCAAATCTAGGGCGGCAATCTTAGAAGCTGTTCGCATACAAGAGAGAAAGACAGTGCAGCTGCAAGTGACGTGAATATTTGACAGCCAAATCCACCAAGGTCTAACTCCTACTAAAATGTCGGCGCTGCCAACGTGCGTTCAAGAGGAGAATTGACCTTAACAATCAACTAAGTGTTCGTCGCAATGGGACTACCCTCGACCAGTTTTCCGGCCCCTCAGAACGTTAACAACACCAAAGAATCCACCCCTATATGCACCCCTGTGATCGCACCTTCCACCCGTGTTTCGTCTCTGTAAGACAACTCCGTAGTCATGACAACAAGACCAAGAACCCACCAGCACTACTGACACAATGTCAGCATGTACACTTCAGTACCTCTGTTTCTAGTCACGAACTGGAAGGATCGTATATGCGCGCATCCATCGTGGGGCTGATAAAGAACTACTAAGGGGATTCCAGTCGTCGGTTTCCCCCCTTTTACTGCTGACATAACTGTGCGTGGCAGTGTTAGACGGAGGTTCATGCCACGTCAGACACTGCACACAATCTCATCACGGGGCGGCCCACTGGTGCAGGGGGGGGGGAGAGGGGGGAGAGAGTGTGAGACCGATTTCGAAGTGGCTCATCCTAGTTTACACCTCATTTTAATAAGTCTGACGGGATGCGTTTTGTCGCATACAACAGTTCATATTGACCCAACTGTGAAAACCTCGGCGCCTCTGTGGGATTCGAACCCACGCAGTAAGGGAAAGGCTTTGGTACAGCCAACGCTCTAACCACTTGAGCTACGAGGCCCCGACGGACGACGCGAGTTTAATCAGTTTTGGGTCAAGTTACCCGCCCAACCTACTGCAAAGTCTGGAATCCACCAAATCTGATACAGTAAGTTGACTGTCCAGGCAGGATTTCCTAAGCAATTCATTTAGAATCCACCAGATGACTACTAGGCTCACGTAATTCAAGATATTTTGGCAGATTTTGAATAATTCATATTGATCCAACTGTGAAGAACTCGGCGACTCGGCGGGATTCGAACCCATGACAGAAAAGCGGAAGGCTTTAATACAAGTAGCTCAAGTGGTTAGAGCGTTGGCTGTACTAAAGCCTTCCCCTTACTGCGTGGGTTCGAATCTCACCTAGACGCCGAGTTTTTCACAGTTGGGTCAATATGAATTATTCAAAATCTGCCAAAATATCTATGCGTACAACAGTGTTAAAAAAACAGCTTCAGGAGCTGACCTGCAGGGGTTGCGAAGGACCATCCAGAGCCACCGCCTGAGTGAGGTTGACTGCATCGATAATAAGACCCCCGTTCTTGAGTTCATACAGCTTTTCCAGATCCAAATCTGGCACCCTTCTGGAGTCGGAGAGGATCAGAATAAGACGCAGTGTGGTGAACTCGTAGGCATCTGCCATCACAGTGGAGATGGGATAGAGGAGGTCTGTGAGGTCCAGCTTCGCCAAATTTGGGGAGCGCTCGGGATATTCACGAAGGTCGGAAATGTAGTCAAAGATGTCATCAGCACTTGTAGGATGCCAGATATCGTCCTCAAATGTGTTGTGCTGCAGGTCAATAACGAATGGTTTAAGTGGGTGTTTGCAAAAACTACGGAAAATCTCAGAAACCCTGAAGAAAAGCCAGGCGTTAGATAAAAATTTCTCAACATTTACAAAATGAAGAAAAGCATCTACATTTCCGACAGTAGTTTTCGTTAAACAAAATAATATAAAAATCAAAAGGGTTAAGAATGCCGATCCTGGACTTGCTTGTCGCCTTTATTAAGCTCTAAGTGGACCCAGTCCTGACAGTGCGAATAATGATCTCTGGAAAACCAAAATTTAACTGCAAACGCGATCTTAGGATGAGAGCCAATTCATAGAAAAAGGCAAGTGTTTTCCATGCAACAGGTGCACACTGTGTACGCATAGGGGTGCAAGCAGTGCACCGCGAAGTATAGAAGGAGGTCCCAAATCCGCAATACCTATTCAGGACTTTGCCTTTATATCTGTGCATGGAAAAGGTATCATACCGTACTCCTGACGATAAAAAAAAAACAGTTAAAAGCCCAGACACGTGTTTCGCCGATATTCTGCCGCTGCATGACACAGCTTCGCGGGGTTCGGCTCCTCAATAGATCCTGCAGCGTCGTCTATGCGGCTTCTGGCATATGAACTCAAGAGAATAATCGAGTGAATAATTCTCGAGATAAATCAGTGCAGGGCGTGGAGTTATGTCTCCGGAACCTGTCTTCTTAGGCTCAGACTCGAAAGACAATCAACCCCTGTGAAATAACCACGTCATACGCATGCTACAAACAAACAGCACTACAAGTAACATGAAATCTATACGGCAAATACTATATGCCTATAGGACGCGCCGCTGTGCGGCTGTTGGCTAGGCTCGAGTGAGAGCCTCAAGGCACAACCGCATGAGAGTTCCGTAAAAACGATCGGTGAGCGCCCTCCTATCCTTCCATATTCTGATTGAAATCGGCAGGACAACGAGCCCGCGGCTCAGTGGTCAGGATTTTGGACGTCTAACCAACAGGTCGCGGAATCGAGCCTCAGGTGTTCCACAGTTCGGGCTAATGAACCAGAATTGGCCATTCTAGTCTCCCTTGTCTTTGTCGGCAGTTTCATTCTGCCTACAGTACGCGCCGCTGCGCGGCTGCTAGTTCGGCTCGAGAGTGAGGAAGCCCCAAAACACAACGAGGCGAAGAAGTTCAGCAAAAAGGATCGCTGAGCGCTCCTCTATTATATATATATATATATATAGTTAAGTTAGTGTCTGAGTCTGGAGTACGGTAGAATGCGTTTGCCGTATGCATTCCATACTACTCGTAGTACTACCTGATTGTAGAATGGGCCTTCCATGATTATTCCACAGTAGTTGATCGTCTTCGACTCGAATGTTCATTGAAATTTCGGGTCTGACTCTAAAAAGTCATGTCCCGGATACTTAACACCATGTCTTGCACTGAATAATTTATGAAATTAGTCGCTTGATTTTCCACTGGAGTTCGTATACCAGAGACCTCATAGAGGATGCTGGTGGACCCACCAAGGAGCGGAACCCCTCACAGCTGTGTCACGCAGCGGCCGAATATCGGCAAAACACGTGTCTGGGCTCATAGTTAGTACCTATGTCGGGAGTACGGTATAATACGTTTGATATACATATCTATATATATTCAGTCAGGAATGTGCGCGCACCAATCTGTTGGCTCCACCAAACAAACAAGCTCCATATGGGTGACAAAATTCACAATGAGGCAACCAATTACCAGGCCGAAGTCGGCCAAGTCATAATAGCAGCGAGGAGGGACGACAGAGAATGCGGGTAAATTGATACAGTACTGTTTCTGGCTTGCTTGGCTTCGCTCAGCCAATCATGACCCTGACCACCGGCTGGAACAGGGAACACAAACATGCGCAAATACATAGAAGAAGAAACAGAAGTAGATCAGAAGACTGGGATGGCCATGGCCACGGTGTATATAAAATGTCGCAATAGCAATGCCGGGGTAAACTTCTTAATTTAAAGTGTAAAGAAGCAAGTCGTAGCCCGTGCGGCTGAATGGTTATTTTACTATTTTCAAATGCTCGAACTCTGACTAACTGGGTTCCCAGTACACGACTGACACTGTCCCAAAACACAGTGCAATTATTCTTTTGCGCACACATGTGTGGGTTCTGGTTAACTATCCCATACTGGTGGAACCAATTACGTTTGCGTAGCCTCAGATAACAGCTACTGCGGAAAGCACTGTTTCTTATCAAAATATCTTTTTACTGAAACTACTGCTTGGATATGCACTTGCACGCAAAAGGTAGATAGACTCGTGAGCACTTATGCCTTGGAGCTCAGAAGGACTTCTACCGCACCAACAATAATGATCCTATATATAAACATCGTGGACGGCGAGAGAGAACGTCTAATAGGGCGGCTTGCCGCAGGTTCCAACAAAGTACCTGCCTCGTATCTGACTGTTAGTCTGAATAATACTGAGTGAAATAGGACTATACAACATGCAGACGTAAATGGGAAAAAGGTTTATATATATATATATATATATATATATTAAAGGTATTATACCGTACTCCCGACCTAGATACTTGCTAAAAGCCCAGACACGTGTTTCGCCGATATTCTGCCGCTGCGTGACACAGCTGCGAGGGGTTCGGCTCTTCAGTGGGACCCCCAGCGTTCTCTAGCAGTTTCTGGTATATGAACTCCAGAGAATAATCAGGTGAATAATTTCGGAAATTAATCAGTGCAGAACTTGGAGTTAAATCTCCGGGACATGACTTTTTAGGGTCAGAACCGAAATTTCAATGAACATTTGAGTCGAAGACAATCAACTACTGTGGAATAACCACGTAATGCCCATTCTACAAACAAGTAGTACTACGAGTAGTATGAATTTCATATGGTAAAGGTATTATACCGTACTCCCGACCTAGATACTTGCTATATATATATAAACTAGACTTATGCTGTGTACTGCCCCTGTTCGAACACAACTACGATCCTAGCTTTACTTTTAGGGGCTGTTCATAATCTGCTGATTCAAGGCAACATGATATGCTGACTGTAGGGTAAATAAGTGATGCGCATATTCAACTCACCCCGGGGAAACGGAAACCGTCGGCGATTTCACAGATGAAAAATTGGTTGAGTGGGTTGAAGGAGAGAGACTCAGTGACCAGAATGCGAAGCGGCTCCTTGATATAATCAAGCAAGCAGTGTCTTGAGGGTACATTAGGGGACGGCGGGTTCAGCGTTGATGTTCTCCGGTCAATGCAGAGAACCTTGTATTTAGCAGGCAATTTGAAGTCAATAAGAGTCAGGTGAGTTAACAATCTAGCACCCAGAAGCGAAACAATATGTCAAACGTTCTCCTTCACTCAGCAGCCCTTCGGCCCACTTTAACAGAGAACAAACAACGCAGTCCAGAAATATTGATTATCAACGGTTTCTGTTGGCATAGGCTGCAGAAATTCCAGGTGTAAAGTACTATGTAAAAACAGACGATATATGCTGATAAAAGTATTCACATTGGCTGGCAATGAGATTTGCTGTGTATAATTTAATTAAGATAAGTCTCGAAGGACCACGAAAATAAAAGGAAGGAAGCTTGAATGCCATTACTGGCATAGTTACAGCCATCAGCCAATCAGACATCAGCTGAAAAGACCCTAGACTCCAATCGGCGTTATTGCGCTTTTTGGTCCTAAACGGCTGGCTGATACCCTACTAAATACAATCGGAGACATTTAGCTTTTCGTTGAGAGACGTTAATCAGTTTTACGCCCAAACAGCGTACTAATTATTTGGCTTTCAGCGACATCTTCAGTGGGTCCTAGACCGACCACATTTCAACATTCAGTCCGTATGGATCGGTCGACACTGCAAGCAGACGAATTTAAAAGAACTAACTTTTCCAAACTCAAATAGAAATAATACACACTCTATACCCGGCAATCCACGCCTGCATGAAAAGAAGTTAACGCTGAACAAAGTTTCCTGAAGCCTGTTACCTGGTAGTTCTTTTACTGAGGAAGTCAGTAAGGTAACAATCCCCTAAAATGTGCCGAAGGAGGATAGTTATGCCAATTAAACAAAAAAGCAAGCAGTGCTTTTGATAAACGATAATACGTTTTGTGTACACACTATAGAACAGTAGTACGCACGATAAAGCAGACTGAACCATTTTGAACGAGAACTTTTCAAACAAAGAAATCAAAGCTAACTGCTGTATTGAGAAGTCGTAGATTTAGCATCGAAGCGCATTCCTTCATCAGCAAACGAAGACAGGCTTGATAGAAAGAACTTATTCTCAGTTTCTAATAGGCTTATTTGTGATGTGATACAAATGGCGGTTCTAGCTGTAAACAACAGTTCTGCCACTTAATTGCTTTGCGTAAAATGTACACAGAACGCGCACCTTCTAGATGATACTTTAACTGCTGACGTCTGCTAACTTCCTCTTCTCTATCAAGGTGCATGCGCATTTTCCAGCGAAAGTCTAGGGAGTCACAGGCTCGTTCAACTGGGGAGAAATTACTTCTAAAAATTACAAAACTACAACACAGTTATAGAAAAACTGAATAAGCAATTGCGAGATGCCAACAAAGTCTTTTTTGAATGGCAGCAGATGAGCGTTACTCAAAAAGTAGAGCAAAAGTAACATACTATTTGTTCTAACGGGTAGCCACGGAAAGTCTCCTGCGTAAAATCTGAAGAATTGAGCAACTGTATGGGACTGCTGAAAAAGAACATACCTGGTTTCTTTTGACATCTCTGAATATATGGATTTTTCGCCATTTCAACTGGAAGTCTTTTCTAGACGTCTAATTTCTTTTATCAAGTCGCACTTCCCGCATCACCATGACCTGAAGAAATATTACGGTATTAAGTACTGCGGCACGTTATTTGCAGCAAATATAAGATAAAAATGCGGACCATATGAACAAGATGTGTCACATTATTTCGTTTTTCTAGCAAAAGGCGGTTTGTTTGATGTCACAGTTAATTTATCTTATCGAAGCCGACAAGACGGCGGATCTGTCACTCAGTGGTTAGAGTATTGGATTCCTTACCAAAAAAGCGCGGATTCGAGCCTCAGGGCTTGCAAAATCTACACCTCACGCGTTAATTGCTCATGCGTTTTTATCGATCACACGGGCAGATAATCCGCGAATCGCATTAAAGAGCATAAGCATAAATGCGTCCGCGCTCAGTCTAAATACTGTATTGGTCGATCAAGGATGCTTTTATGTAAACCAAGTAAGTTTTTTTAAGGAGCTCTTAATTAATCTAAAATATAGTAACGGGCTCAAGGAAATAGGAACGGAGGGAGTGGCGTACGTTGCATGACCGTGAAAGTAAATGTTTTGTATCGTCTTCATTTCATTGTTTATTATGGGGTCAATAATGCCAAAACCGGTTAGAACTGTAAATGTCCACGTATGGGGACAGCCTACGTATATTATGCATACTGTGTGGTATCCTAGACACCTTCACAACTTCCGTGGTGTTTGCAGAGGCCGGAAAAATGGGGCATGTTTTCACAATAAAAGTTCGTAAGGAAAAATAAAGGAAAATTTGAAAAGTTTGTCTGTTCTGTGCAAAGTGAGTCCCACATTCTCATTAAATACCGACTGTGTGCACTCATTCATAGGTTACAAAGTGTCTGCTGCAGAACACAACTATACCCATGTTTTCGCCGTGGAAGATAGCAAAAACAATTTGAAGAACATCCCTCACTGCTGCCAGCCACATCGAAAGCTCTTCTAGCTGAGTCTTTAGAAAATCTAGCGTGCCTGGATATGTGTGAGTTACTGATCAAGGATATCAAAATGCAGTATCTATAGTTTTATTAACAGATACTATACATTTGGCATGTCCAAAGGGTCGTCAGAAACACGGTGTAAATATTCATGTCTATGGAGTTAGAGAAACAATCTAACTTTGGGATACAATTGAAAAAAACCCCACGAGACATGAAAATGCAGAGTAGCCGGTATCTTGAAAGCGTTGTATGCGAACAAGGATAGTTCCTACTGTTAGTCTGTAGCTAGTTTTGCTATTTGTTATCTTTTTTTCAACATAGCCTGCATGCACCATCCCCCAGCAGTCAGGTCGTGCGAATTACCTCAGAGCGCAAACCACTACGAAATTGACAAAGCTTTTCGAGTCTATTCGAGTCACTTTCGACGAGGATCCGGGATGGGTTCAGACCGATCCTACGTGGGATCATGTGCGTCTAACCGCGTGCCAACGAAGACAATCCGTTCCACAAAAATGCCCTGCTAGCACCAGCCCCGTCTAGCCCCCCGGGCTTAGCATATCTATAACTTGGACAAAGTCCACGCTCAGACGCCATACCCGACGCACCTTTTCCACAGCAAGCCATCATCGTCTCAACAAATTTATTTATTATTCTGGCAGCATATGACATTTTCCTTTGATAATATTATCAAGGGGGATTCCCTTTCCCTATTTATTTTAAAATACATATGGTAAAATGGGCCGCATATGGATGAGTTTTCTCCCAGTGTTGGGCCCTCTGGCTACCATGCGTATGTTCGCCAAACGCTATTATTATGAAAGTTTACAGCATACGACTAGGATACAACGGTATATCGTGTTCTCTTTAGCATGTTTAATATCGCTGGTATCAACATAGTAGCCAAACGTAAAGTAACTGCAGTTCTTTGCGTAGGATCATGAGTCAAATGCAAACGATCTTAAACAAGCGACTGTTTCAAGGGATAAATAGCGGTGAACAAATTCCCCAGGTCTGCGTACCGATCTACCAAAAATTACGTATACGGCGCCTAAATTTGGAGCCCAACTCTAGGTCAGTATTCCACAGTTAACTTAAACATGTTCAAGGCTCTCAAATATGAAGTGACGTACATAAACTTTCATAAATCCACCTAACGGGACGTTGTGTCACAATCAGTTAGGCCACTCTCCGCTACAGAACACGCATTTTCTGGAGGACACAGATGAGATCGAATTTCTGGAAGGCGTTACAACTCGTCTCGTACGACGCAGCATAATGCGTGCCAAGTTAACTAAAGTGAAGAAGATAGGTACAGGCACTAAATTGTTGACATGTATTTTGTAAAGCTTACAAGATCTATTACACGCCAATGAGGCTTTAAAGTGCGCGTTATTGCTTTCGGAATTTGCAACGAAATCTTTTAAGGAAGTGAGGGAAAATGCTGCCGTCAGTTTTTCAGCACACTAAGGCGAACAACTCAATATGGAGGGTCGATATCGTGTCACAAACCAAGAAGTAATATAAACAGCAGTTCTTTATATTTTCCGGATTGAAATCTAAATAATGCCAGTCCCGAATGTCTACCTTTTGTCACGTCAGTGCACGGGTTGATTACAATCTGTCATCAGGTTTAGGCATGCGGAAGCAAATGTATTTCCATTTCAAAACGTCCTGGAATAACCCCCTGACTCATCAATAAAACCGAGATCCGCTTATGCCCTATAATATTTGCAGATGTGCTTCGTAAATGGCACTATCGCACCGTTTATTTAGAACTGTGTCTTTAGTAGACTTTAGGATTTTGTAGACCTCAACGTTGGTCTAAACAGACTTATATATATGGTAGACACATTTGCCATACTAAGTGTTATGTGCTAAAAGGCTCATTAGACCTAGACTTTAATCAAAATAGGAGTTTTAACTGTTTGGCAATGTTAATTTAACAGAACCAAAAGACTGAGAGGTAATATTTGCCGAGTGAGACAATTTATTCAAAGCATCCGTTCAAAGCATATGGTAGAAGTACCAAGTTAATGGGCAGCACTTAAGTAACGGATGGACAAGCAGTATATAAAGGAAGAGAAATGTTGTCTTGAGATACACGAATTCGCTGAGTAATGACAAAGTCATGTTTGTCTTTCAAAATTATTTCAAATAACCTTCTTATGGGTCCATTTACGTGGATGTGATCAACAGTTGTTTGACGACAGATCGGGTCCAATTGCAAAACCTTTCGCTGTGCTGTTGACAGCGCCCAACCGCGAAGATGCAGTTGGGTAAACCAACGAAAAAGTGACACAATTTACAGTACGTTATGTCATACAGCAAGTTATAGATCTCATAGATTAAGTTTTCAGATCAGCTAGAGCAGTTTGTCAAAAAATAAGCTAGTGTAAATTGCGTTGTCCAGATCACTGAGGTTGCCCTATAATCAGGGGCACTTACCTAACCAATACTCCCATGAAAACCAACAGTTTTGGTTGGTTGGCAGATGCAACATCAAATCATATGAATTGATGTTGCATCTTCCGGAAAATATGCGTCATGACCTTCAATGGACCGGTCTCAGCCTCACTTTATTTGGTAAGGATGATAGGCAAGGCCTTTGATAACCCTATGGAGTACATGCCAACGCGTTGGACAGTCGTACATAAACAATGGAAACTGTCGCTGTCAATACCAAATTTGCACGAATTAAGCAGCATTGTTTTTAAAGACAAACTTTCTGCGGTTCAGGGGGTACTCCGCTCAGGTTCGGACAGCCAAAGGAAAAACAGGGGACAAGTAATTATCCAACCTTTTCTTAAAGAGCTGGGGCGTGTCCGTCCCCACGACTGATTTAGAGGATCCTTCCATCCCTCCACTTCCCTCTGAGTAAAAAATACAGAAGGAATGTTCAGCCTGGACGTTTTTGTGCAAAGCTTCATAGAATGTCCACTAAGATTAGCAAGAAGTGTTGCTTAAACATATCCTCAAAGTTCAGTCCATGCTCAAGGCCATGCATGAACTTGTAAACTAGGAGTAGATCATCTCTTTGGTGCATGTAACACAGAAGGAAAGGATTGAGGCTGTCCGATCTTCCTATGTAAGATTTTTTCTTGAATTCTTTACCAGTTTTGTTGCACGACGTTGCACCTTCCCAAGGCATGTTTAATCTTTCACTAGCCGTGGCCACCACGCCTGTGTGCCATATTCTAGATAAGATCATACAAAGGAACGTACACTCTCCCAAAAGGCTTTTACGAAGGGTCACAAACGCCCTTTTGATCGCATGGAGTACTCTAGTGGCGTTTTTCAGCCTTGGTGCACTGCGGTGCTGGTTTCATGTTAATCTGTATCCAAAAATCAAGATCGTTCTGCGAAGAATACGCGAAAAGAGTAATATATTAAGATGATATGCCCTCGTGCTGTTATTTGAATGGCAGTTGGCCGAGAACTGAGCCTTGGGACGCAGCACTAGTTACGGTCACGCAATCTGACATATCAGTTCCGATAGAGACACGCTGTTTTCAACCAATCAGAAACGCCCTTATCTGGTCCAGTAGATCTCTCCGGCTGCCGAGGACGTTCAATTTATGAATAAGGCGTTGGTGCGAGACCGTGCCGAATGTTTTGTGGAAATCTATATACACGACACCGACCTCACAGCCCCCTTCTAAAGCCCACGTCCAGTCATCCAGAAAGTTAGCAGATTTAAAAAGTAGAAACGCCCTTTCAGAAACCATGCTGAAAATTCTATAAGATTATCTTTTCTTCACAAACTTACTGTATGAAATTCTTTGCTAGAACTTCCATTGCTTTACATGAGAGGCGAGCTAAGCTAATGGGCCTGAAGAGGCTTGCTGCCATTCTGCTACCTCCCTCGTGTAAGAGGACGAGGTTAGTTGTCTTTAGCTGCGATTGCAGCGTCCCCATTCCCAATGACGGCTTAAAGAGAGTTGAAGGAGACATTGTCAACTCCGTTGATAGTTTCCTTAAGCACCAGCCCTGGAATCCCGTCGGGTCAAGGTGACTTTTCTGGCTTGATTTGACT